TAGGACAGCGCCGGGGCCGGCGCGGGGCGGCCGAAGCGGTCCCGCGGCACGAAGGCGACCTGCAGGGCGACAGGAGAGCCGTGGTGACAGAGGGGACAGGCGGGCGGGGCCGGGGCCACGGGGCACGCACGGACAGACGGGGTCCGGGGGGCCCGGGGGGCTGCAGATGCGCGGACGGACAAACGGGGAACAGGGGTGTTGGGGGGCAGGGGCCGCGAGCAGGGCCGCCAGGAAGCGGGCCCCGGCCCCTCTGCAGAGTGCAGGCCCAGGTCAGAGTGGGGAGGGGCTCTGCGGCTGGTTTCCGTGGCTTTGTAAGAAACCGGAGAAACGGGCCCCCTCTTTTTTCTTTGTGGTTTCTGGATGCAGTTGCTTTGGTACTGGATGAAGTTCCTAGAGTTACTTCGCATCCTTAGCCTAGGAAGTGCCTTGCGTTCCACAGTATGATGGTGGATCTGTTCCCAGCCCGGCCCCGCAGCACCTCCCAAACACCGTCCTGCGGCGTCCCGGAGACCACATGCGTGCCACACACGCGATCACTGACCCACGGGCGTGCGCACAGACAGCCCCAGGCGCCTGTGAGTGTCCAACCTAGAGGCAAAGGCGCCCCGTCTCAGTACTGGGGGATGGATCTGGGGTGGGCACGAGTCCTGACAGTCCTGACCTAGGGATTCACCCATGCCCCCACTGGCCACTGCGTTAGCAGCTGCTGGGCCATCGCAGCTCGGCTCAGTCTGTTCTCCGTGGGGGCTCAGGCACAGTGGGGTCCCTTTCCTGGGCCTCGACCCCTGCCCTCTTACCTCTGAGGCCCCGGACCGCAGCACAGCACCGTCTGCAGGCCACAGGCACCCTTCCTGCGGACAGAAACCCGAGTTAGTCTCATCTCCTAGCAGCAGCACCCAAACGTGCCAGCCCTTGCTTTCCCAAACCAGGGCGACAGGCTGCTGTGATGTGGCCGGCCTGACACCTGTGGCGTGAAGCACGCCCCCCTGGGCTGGCACATCAGCCTGGCGGGTTGTGGCACAGGCTCTGGGCTGATGGCAGTGAAGCAAACCTGCATCCTCATGTGCTTCCGTCCAGTCCTGCTGCCCTCACACCACACAGGCTGCCGCCTTCTCCCGGAGAGCTGGGCGGCCGGTGCCTGCTGCCGGCCAGTGTTTTTGGGGAATGCATCCTTCAGGCTGTATATTTATAACCAGATCTTTAAAAACTCAGGTCAGCCAGGCATGGTGACACACACCTGTAATCCCAGCACTTGGGAGGCTGAGACAGGAGGATCACAAGTTTGAGGCCACCCTGGGCTACATAGTTCATGGCTGACCTGAACTACAGAGTGAAGCCCTGGCTCAAAACAAAAAAAAAAATTATAAACCTGGATTATTTAAAAACAATGAACTATGTCTCCAAGCATTGCCATGCTGAGATGAACGGTGGCACCTGCCTTACTCCAGGGAGGACTCAACATGTCCTGCCCTCAGGCCAAAGCCGGGCAACACCCCTGTGCACACACACGCATTTCCTGGCTTCCATAAACTGGTGCTTCTGTGTGCTCTAGCGGGTGCGCTAACAGCAGACCAGTGCACCCAAACTGTTAGCTGCTGCTCAGGGCATGGGCTCTTCTTGCAGTCCTGGATGCAGCCAGGAGCAAATCAAGTAGCCCAGATGGCCAGACTGATCCAGGCTGATGGAGCCACTGGTAGAGCAGTCAGACGTCACTTGACATCTATTTGCTTGATATCTTTTTTTCAACTGTATCTGCTCTAGAGTCACTAGCCATTCAGTATGGTCACCATCTCTGTAGTTATCTGAGAAACTATTTCTGATTTGATTTTTTTCCATAACTTCACTCATCTGCTTTGTTACTTCTACTGTTACCACTTCAGAGAGTCCAGGTGGTTGGCTTTCTGATTGTTCCACCTCATCACCCCCTGGGTTTACCCTGGTTGAGCTGGAAGTTTAGGGTTGCATCTTGCTTAAGTGTCTTCTCATTGTCTTTATCATAATTTTAGTTTAAGTCCTGGGTTGGTGCTTGTAAATTGCCTGTAGTAAACAGCTTTATTGCTTGTATTTAGAACTCTTAGGAGAGGACTATTTTTCAGAGATGTCTTCCAGGTGTAGCTGGCTTTTGGGTTTTGAGTCTGTTGCAAGACTCTACCTCTTCAATTTATCGGGGATGAGAAGCTGCTAGCTACTTGGCCCAGACCCTGGTTCTTTGGCACTGGCCTACAGTATTTTTTTTATGACCTTTAGGCAGTCTCAGTCAGGGCACAGTATGAAACACAGCCTAGAAAATGACAAACTGTGGTAACTATTAATTTGCCACCTTTAACTGTATGCACCAAATTTGTGGTTATACATAACCAAATCTGAAACAATCCAGAAAACTGTATACAGTAAGTAAGCCCTTGCTATGGCAATTTTACCCTTGAGGGGAACATAAAAGGGGTTGGAGGGAAAATAGAGAAATAGAAGAAGAGGAAGAGATTAGAAGCAAGGCTGTAGGAGGAAGAAAGAATACAAAAACTTTAGGAAACTGGTTAAGACAACAAAAGGGAAAGAGAGAAGGAAGAAATAACAAGAACAGAACAACAGAATAACTAGAAACAATGTTCATACTCATGCAGAAACAAAACAAAAATAAAACAAGAAAAAAAGTCCACTTCAAGGCATGTCTCTGCTGTCACAAAATGGGCGGACAGAGTCCAGATCCATGTGATTAATCCCAGCAGGCCAGCCGTAGCTTTATGGCCAGGTAGTGGATAATCCCAGCAAGCCTGAGCCGTTAGTTCCACTAACGTTCAGGCTGGTTTCTGGCTGTGAGGCTGGAACCCGATTTGTTCAGCCTGCAGCACTGCCTGTGCCTCCTGCTGGCTTGAACTTGCCAAGGTGACACTGGGAGCAGCTTGGTGGAGGCTGGTGGAAGCTGCCCGGAGTTCTGAGCTCAGCTGGCTCCTCTCCAAGATGTCTGCCAGCCAATCACCCGCTCCTGGGGGACGTCTGAACCCAAATAACACACCAGCCTCTGCAGTCTGCTCTGTCCACTGCTCTGTGCCACTGGTGCATTTCTCTGTGGAGGCCTCTAGGGTCTCCAGTAGTCACTGTGTGTCTGCAGGTCCCAGCTGCCCCTCCTCCGCAGTGAGTTGGGGCTCGGAGAAAGTGCCACTTGCCACCTGCTCCATCTGCATTGAGGTCTCTTTGCTCTTCCCACGGGCTTCAACTCTCTCTTCAGGTCCTAGCTGGGCCCCCCGAACCCACTCCTCTCCTTTTTCTCTTCCTCATGTTGCTGCATTCCAGTGTCTGGACACCAAACCTCAGAGAGACTGTTTCTCTGCTGTTCATTACTCCACCATCTTCCCAGGAGTCCAGAGCGCTGTGCCAGTATCCTAGGCAACCCAGGCCTGGGGCACCCCAGCGCTGGCTGCTTGTCAGAAGCCTCTTCTGAGTCTGGACCTTTCTTCCTGACTCTAGCACGTGCACATCCCTTACATCTTGGCCTCCTCTGAATAGCCCAGGAGAACTTCCCACAACTCCAGTCCGGTTGGCACTACAGTGTTCGCACTAAAGAGAAAAAGTCCTGATCTTCCAAAGGCTCGCCTTTGTTAGGCCAGTAATCAGGGTGTATCACGCCGATGTGGGCGCAGGGCTTCCCTTTTCCAGCTCTGGGGTGGGAGGCAGGAAATACTCCAAGGCGATGATGTGGGAAGCGATGAAGTCATGACAGTGGTGGCCTCATGAGAAGAGTTGGAAGGGTCAGAGAGCCCGCCAGACGTTTTCCCACCCTGAGAGGATCACAGGAAGTCGCCATGTGCAGCCAGAGGGGCCCTCATCAGAGCCCACCACTTCCAGCGTCCGGGACCATGAGAGACAGAGGTCAGCTGTTCGTAAGCCATCCCAGTCGCAGCTCCTGGTTATAAAAGCTAAGGCAGAACTTTGTATTTTTAAACTCTTACACTTAAATTTTGTAGTTTCTAAATCTTACACTTAGATTTTTCATCCATTTTGAGGGTCTTTTGCTTTTTGAGACAGTGCTGTACTATATAATTCAGGCTGGCCTTAAACTCATGGCAATCCCCCTGTCTCAGCCTCTTGACTGCTGGGATTACAGGTGTCCGTTCTGAGGTATTTCTTGTAATCACTCTGTAAGAGGTGGGTCCTATGTCATCCTTTTGCATGTGGGTTTCCAGTTTCCTTGGTGTCACTGTGAAGGCTGTCTTCTCCCCGTGGGTCTTTGCACCCTTGCTGACAATCATTTGGCCACAAATCCAAGGCTGATTTTTTGGCTGTCATTCTGCCCCACTATCGGTGCCTGTCATTGTGCCAGCACCAAACTGTCCTGAACACTACTCATTTAGTCATAGGTTTTGAAGTCAGGAATTAAGAGCCCTCCAACTTTATTGCTCTTTTTTGAGATTATTTTGTCTCTTTAGAATCCTTAGAGATAACATACAATTTCCATGATGTATTTATCAACTTGTGGAAGAAACATTATTGGGTTGTGCACTGCTTTGATACTGACAGCTTAACAGTAAGAAGATCCAATCTGTAAGTATGGAATATCTTCCCATTTATTTGTGTCTGCTTTAATTTTTAGCAATATTTTGTAGTTTGTTGTGTATAAGTCTTTAGTTTTCTCAATTTCATTTCTAAGCATACTATTCTTTTGCAGGCTATTATAAATGTTTTCCTAATTTCCTTCTAAGATCAGATTGTCATTGTTAGTGAAAAGAAATGCAGCTGATTTTTGCATGCTGAGTATGGTCCTGCTGCTGTGCTGCATTTACTAGTTTGTGACCATTAGTCCTGCTGTATCAACTTGACCTGTCTAAGAGACATGCAGGGCCTAGAAAGGCACACTTCTGGCAGGGCACGAAGCGGGATGTTGGGTGCTATATCTGGTTCCTTGCTGCCCTACATTATTCTGCCGTGAGGTTCCTGCCATGGACCCAGTGGTCAGGGACTGGGTCCCCTGAGGCACCTTCTCCTCAAAGCTGTGGGGTGGGGTGCTGTGTCTGGCCACAGGAGAGCTGACCACTACAGAGTTGTACCAGAGTTTTGTTTTGTGCTGGTGTAATGTTCTGAGTTTTAAATAGATGATCATAGCATCTACTAACAGAGATAATTTTACTTTTTCCTTTCTTATCAGAAAGATTTTTAATTCTCTTACTGTTGTAGTTTGGGCTTATTGCAAGGGGAAACAATATAATACAGGACACATATTTTATAAAATTATTTATAAGAGTTACCCAAAGAATCATATACAAGAGAGTGCAGGAAATCTGTCCATACACTAGAAATCAGAGAATCCAGCTGAGGGCCTAAATCCCATGATAATGTCCTGCATGAGTTGAGCTGAAGACCTAGAGCCCCTAACAATGCCTCCCATGAGTCCAGCTAGAGGCCTAGAGCCCATAATAATATCTTATGGAGACCTATTTCACACTGGCAAGGCCCAAAGGTCAGTGGTGGAATCTAGAAAGTCTGTGCCAGCAGGATGAAGGATCTGTGCTAGCAGGTTGAGGGATCTGCACTGGAGCCAGGAAGCGATGCTCAAAATAAGAAACAGAGGTCCTCTGAAAAGTACCACAGCCATCCTTAGCAACAGTGAGGTCCTGAGCCCCTCTGATGATCAGGACAGTGAGCTGCCATCAGTAAAGCCAACTCGACAAGCTTTTCCAGGAGACTGGCAGTGCACCATCTTCCCCTATGGAGCCAAGAATTGGTGCTCAAAATGAGGACCAGAGCTCCCCCAAAGTGAACCAAAGCCATTCCCAGTGACAAGATCCCGAGCTCCTTGGACAATGGGAACAGCTGAGTTCATCAGGAAAGCCAGCATGACAAACTCCTCCAAGAGAACCAACAGCTCCTTACAGCTTCTACCAGCTCCCAACAGCCTCACTTCTTCTTCTCCAGTTCTGCCTCTTACGCTGCTGGCAACAATCCCCAGGTGGGCCTCCCACTCAGTACCACACTTACTCAGTTCAGCTGGGGTTATAAGTTGACCACCAGTTGTCAATCCACTACACTCACCTAACTGTTCTTGCCTGGGAGTTCCAGGAAACACCATGCTGCCTAAAAATGGTAAAAGGAGGCATCATTATCCTGTTCCTCATCTCAGAGGGAAAGTTTTCAGTTGGTCACTGCTGATTACCATGGTAGCTGTGGGATTCTCACAGATGACTTTATGAGGCTGAAGAAGTTTCCTTCCATCCTGCCTTGTGGAGCACTTTTATTATGAAAGGGTGTTGAATCCTGACAAATGCTTTTTCCGTATTCGTGAGATGGTCATGTGGTTGCTTTCTCCTGTTTCATTCTGTTAACAGGGTGTGTGACAGCTTTTCATACAGTGAACCATCCTGACCTTCTGGAATTAAGTCCCACTTGGTCATGGTGTATAATCCTTTTGCTATGCTGCTTAATTCTATTAGCTAGTATACTGTTGAGAAATATTCTGAAGGGATATTTGCCTCTTGTTTTCCTTTTCTTTTGTGTCCTCATCTGGCTTTGTATTGAAACTCTGCCCTCAGAGAGTGAGTTAGGAAGTATTGACACGTCTCTGACATTTTGGAAGAGCTTGAGAAGGGTTGGTGTCAATTTCTTAAATGTTTAGTAAGATTTCAACCATGACATCTCTAGTCCAGGGCTTCTGTTTGTTGGGAGGCTTTTGACTATTTGTTCAGTCTACTTACTAGTTAACAGTCTATTCAGATTCTCTACTTCTTCATGAGTCAGTTTTGGAAGAGTATTTCTAAGAATTTGACCATTTCATTGAGGCTTCTGATTACTGTCTTCTCCTAGTCCTTTACATTTCTGCATCTCTGGTAATTTTTCACCCAACCCATATAATGTTTCATACTGAAAGACCATGATCTGTGACCATGAGCTATGAGGGTTTTGCTGTGTGTGGAGGACTGGGGCCTCCTGCCATGCACTGAGCCAGAGCATGTGCTCAGGGCGGCACAGACCTGCCTGGCACCATCATGGATGACATGGGCCACAGGGAACCTGGTCTGTGCTAAGTGGGCATTGTTCTCTCTGACAGGACAGCTGTGACCTCAGCCTGCACCCCTGTCCGATGCAGCCCAGAGATAGGGCTGTGACAGGCATGGTGTGACATGGCTTGCAGCTCACTTTTAACTTTCCTGAAACAATCTGTGTCTGCTATGGTACAAATGCTTCCCTGAACAGCCTGAAGTAGGGTTGTGAGACAAGGCATGCCCTGAGGTCACACAGGAAGGAGCAGGGCTGCTGCACCCCAACACTGAGCTTGGGGACCTCAGGACATGACTGGGACCACCCACGCTCACAGGCCAGGCCACGTGGTCAGCCCAGGAAAGCACCCGCCACCTTCCACGCACCTCAGGGTCCCTGCTGGTGAGTCCTGAGCCCCACATCTTTGGATGAGCCCTGGTGACGTGTGACACTGTCCCAAGGTCAGCCGAGCCCACTGTGGTCAGGGCTGATCTGCAGGCAGTTGTGGGGGCCATGGCCACCTCAGCCCTTTCAGCCACAGGTTCCAGCCACAGAGGCAAGGGCCTGGCCACAGTAACCACATCTGGCCAGAGCAGGACGTGCATCCTTGCTTTCTCCGCCTGCTGGGAGGGTTCTCACATCCTCAGTGATGCTGTTGCCCACTCTCTGAAATTGGGGGCCCCTCTCCATCTGCCTTTCTCTTCATCCTCATGGTAGAGGCTTGGTGCTGAAAAAACATCTTCCCAGGACAGCAGTAAGTAGCAGGGGCATCCCAGGATGAGGGTCCACACAGAGAATACCAGGCCTGGCTCCGGTCAGCTGGCTGGGGGGAAGGTGGCCCAGTTCTCCACCCTGAGGCCAGGCCTGGCCAGGCCAGGTTCCAGGGCTGTCTGCAGCCAAGCAGCAAGCACTTTGGTCTGAGGAACACAGCTGCCAAGTCCCAGTCCTTTCCACTAGCCAGGGGACAGAGGAACCGGCCTCCTTCCTGAGAGGGCCTGCATCCCGTGCAGCTGTCTGTGAGCCGCTGAGGACAGCTGCACGGGGACGCCCCTGGATTTCACCATGGGTCTCATCCCCACAGAAGCTGGTAATGAGGAATGCCTGGTACAGCTCTTTTGTTCATTTTTAATTGAACTTGCTGCTTTTATAGGTCAAAACAGGCTGAGCACCCACAACTGCACGTGGCTCGCACGAGTGCAAGCCCCTGTCCCTCTGCCACTGCTCTGTGGACAGCGGCCCGGGGCACCCGCTGCACCAGGCTGTCGGGGGGCTCTCAGAGTCAGACAGTGCTCAGTGTCAGAGAGCACCTCTCGCCATTCCTCTCCGGCGGGCCAGGTGCTCAGGCGCTGACTGCAGCAGCCTGGCTGTCAGAACTCTGGCTCCACACAGACGGGAGTGGCTGGCAGCCTCGAAGGATGCAGGGCGTAAATGACACACCTGTGGTGGCGTTAGCTAGTGCTTAGGGTTTTACTTTTCTCATAATTATAGCCCAGGGTTACTGGTTTTCATTTTCATCCACAAATGGCTGGTCTGTCCCCTCCCTGGGCTCCCTAGAGCACAGGTCTCTGAGGCACTGGAGACAGAGGCACCCTCCACGACCCTGCAGGGCTTCCACAGCACCCCCATGGTTAGGGCCGGCATGGACAGCTCCAGGAAGGGCGTGGGAGAGGCTGGCTCACCCACCTTCACAGAGGACCCCAGGGAGGGACGAGGACACAGCCCCGATCCTGTCTGAGTCTGCTCTTCCTTTTGGACAGGGCGCTACCTGTCCCGGAGAGCAGGGCCAGCAAATGCCACCTCGAAGCTTCCTCAAACAGGGGTCCGTAGGATGCACAGGCACTCGCCTGGGGCCAACAGGGGGCGCCCTGCACCCACAGCCGCCCTTCGAGCTGCTCAAAGTTTTGAAAAGGGCTGGGGACGATGCAGCTCAGTGTGAAGGCCCTAGGTTCAGCCCCAGTACCACAAAAATAAAATAAAATAACAAAACAAATAAAAAGCAATGCTAATCTGTGCCGATGGATGGCATCCAGGCAGGGAGACCCTTGCAGGTGCCGGGGCTACAGAGGACGTGAGTGGTTTGCCTTCTTCAGTGTGAGGCTCACTGAACTGCAGGCCTCCAAGAGCAGAGGCCGACAGGACCCCGAGGGCCCACACTCACCGGCAGCACCCCTTCCCCGCGCCGTCTGCCCGGGTCTGGGTGCTGGATGAAGGAGCGTGTGGAGACCCTGTAGTGGCTCAGCAGACAGACGATGACCACGACCATCACAGTAACCACCACAACAATGACGACGATCTGGGCAAACTCCAGCTCCGCTGCGGGGGAAAGAATGACGGTGAGACGCTTGCAGGCCGCGGGGTGCAGGCGCGGGGTGCAGGCATGGGAGAGGAGGAGCGGTGGCTACTGTGGGCTCACTGGGCTGGGCGGGGCCCAACAGGCTGCAGGGACACCCATGCCGAAGCCCTAGGCCACAGCCCCCCTCGTCCTGTGTGGGGCGCTTCCTGCGGGCCTGGTCCCAGTGCCACGAGGAGAGGCCCTACAGTAGGGCTACCCCGTGAATGCTCAGAGCCCTGAGCCCCGAGCCCTTGGCTGTGGCTGCCAGATCCCATGTTCTCTGGCGACAGGAAGACCAGGCTCCATCTCCCCACCCAGAGCGGCTGAGCAGCTCGCTCAAAGCTGAGGCTGCATCTGCCAGTGCCACCTCTCTGAGGCACCTAGGCCACCTGCTCGCTGGGTTTCCAAGACGACAGCGTAGGAAGCACACACAGGGTGACAAGGCGCCTCAGCCGTATCCGCAGACACTGGAGTGTGAGGCCACCCTAGGTTCCAACACTGCCTGGGAAAGGGACGTGCTAGATGCCACCCACACTGCCCAGTGCAGTCCACAGTGAGACTGGGTGATGGCGCAAGGAGCTGCTATCAGCGGTCAGGACTGGAGTGCTGTTCTGCCTCTGCCCTGAAAGGCTGTCAGGGGGAGGGGTGTGGGGCGCAGGGGGCGGGGCTCTGGTGGACACAGAGTGAGGTTCCAGAACCTCCCGGGACACTGGCTCCTCAGTGTGCAGTCCCATGCAGGAAACACGCCGTGTGTACAGGCCTCTTGCCCCTGTTTACCCCACTCTGTCGCTGGGTCAGTCAACACCTGCGGCAACACAAAAGAAGTGCTGATGGTTGCGGCGGCGGCCAGGGCATGTCAGTGAGGAAAAGCCTGTGCACGTCTGGCCTGGACACACAGATGCATTCCTGTCTCAATTCTTCTCCCTCCGTGGTTGGTTAGCTCCCTGGAGGGCACACTGGGTACAGAGGGCAGAGGTACTCACAGCCCTGAGCCCACACTGCACACACGCGCATACGTGAGCATGCACGCTCTGGTGCAAGGCGCTCGGCTGCAGCAGGACCCCCAGGCCTCGGGCAGTGTGGGAAGGCTGCGCGTCCTCCCCCTCACCAGGCCCCACCTTGGACACTGCCCTACTCCTGCCCTCAGAGCCCACATCCTGTGCCAATGACACCCAAATGTGCCTGGCTGGGTCAGGGAAGGGAGCCTGATGGTGAGCGGCTGGGCCAGGGTCTCCTCACGCAACCAGTTAGGGTGAAGGCTGGAGGGCCTCCTCCCGAGAGGCACAGCATGGGTGCCCTGAAGCTGGCCATCATTAAAGTCCACAGCCAGGCACTCCTACCCCGAGGAACTGCTTGCCAGGAGGCCCCTGAGCCTCTGCAGTCAGTGCCCAGCTCAGCCCCAGGTGCCCTCCAGAGGGGACACTGAGTCCATGGGTCCACAGACTCAGGGGCTCTTGGAAAGACAGCAGCATGGGGTGGGGCTGCTGCCTTCAAGACAGACGCCCACAGCCATCCTCATGACTCCTCCGCACAGGACCCTTCTACATGGGGCTCTGGGCACAGATCACCCTCGTCGAAGTCATAGGAGACAACACGGAGATGAACAGAGGGCCTCAGGACCTTAGCACACCCAACCCCTGACCATGTGCTGCCCCAGGGGCAGCTCTCCCTCACAACCCCCAGGCACCGCCATCCCTGTTAATCAAGACCCCCCCCACACGGTGTCCTGTGCTGTGACAGACAGTGCAGTGCAGCCTGCGGACGCAGACCCGACAGAAGTCCGTGGTTTGGGGGAGTGAACAAGGAAGGAGGCTAAGAAGAGAACTCTGAAGAATCATTAAGACAGAAAGCTTTTTAAACCCACAGAAATAGTAGCATTCTAAGAAAATAATAGGGTGCTTTGGGATTTCCAAAATGTCCTGTGCCCATATGGATTCTGGACATGGCCTGTGGTCGGTTTTCCTGCTGCCAAGACTAAAGCAGACCACGTGAGGGGGGCTCAGACCGTGTTTTCACATTCTGCCTCCCTCACGGGGCCGTGGTTCACAGAGCTGTGATGCATGAATCGCTGCCGTCCAAGCCCCAGGAATGATGTTGCAGTCTCAAGCTTACAGGAGGACGCTGCCACCCCTCGCTTTACTACTGTGTCAGGACGGCAGCCCTGTTTTTACGGAAACATCTCCAAGACACCCCCATGCCGTGGGGTGGGGAATCACAGACAGAAAACGGTACAGGCCTGTGGTCTCTGCTCTGCTCCGTGAAGAGCCTGTGCTGTTCAGAGACCCCAAAGTGCCACTGTCCACTCAGCCTCCTAACAGGACCCATGCTCATGTATAGGGCGGGAGGTGGCGCCTTCTGCATAGATGCCCCAGGCTCTCTCTGCTCTCAGCTATGCACAGCAGACTGACCCCAGGGTGGGTGCCCCCTGTCTCTGCTTCCCCAGGCTGCATGAATACCTAGGCAGCTGTAAAAGCCACCCCCACACAGCCCACCAGCAGGGTCATGGGCACCTGGCTGGCTAGCTAGGGGACCATGCCCTCCAGGTGGCCCTGTTCCCAGCAAACTCTCTAAGTTCGACTCAGTGACCCGAAGCTGGTTTGCATGGCTTCTGCAGGTAAACACCTGTCTGAGTTTCCTTCCTGTCTCATCCTGCTCAGCCTAGACAGGTATGGTGACAAGGTGACAGCCAGGAAGGGAAGTCCTGCTCTTTACTATGGCTCCATGATATCGGGTCAGTAACATCCCGCAGTTATCTCAGGCTGATCAGGTCCACAATCTCCCGAATGAGTGTACAGTGAAGGCTAAATAAAAAGAGGTGAATGGAATGATTTCAGGGCTCCATAAAGATCAAAGCCCTCTCACAGAATTCGGGATTCTCTCAGGCCTAAGACCAAGACCTTCTCTGGGTGGGCCATATTTATTTAGTTATCAGAAGGGAGGGGAGTACTCAAGAAGGGCAGAACCACTCAAAGACCTCTCCAAGTATTAAGTTAATCCACCTAGAAGTGAGGTACCTGAGGCTACAGTCTTTGTCTAGTTGAGGTTGGATCCAGGTGTTCGTGGCTGTGATCTTGTCTTATCCTTTGAGCTTTCTGCCTTCATTACAGGCCTTAGTAGGGATCAGTGACTCACAGGGGTTCACTTACTATGAGTCCACAGCCCATCTCCAGATCAGGGGCCTAGGCTTTGGACAGACTCACAAGTACACATGAAAAGCCCATCAGTTAATTTAAGTCCTGCTTAGGGCTGCTTCGCAGTGGCGTCCATCACCATGACATTTTGGAAATGCTGGTAAATTCTATCTAAAATCCTACAGAGCCCAGGGGAGATGGAAGAAGGATGGGGTGGAGGTTAGAATCTACTAGAACTAACTGGCTCAAGTTGCTGAACTCTTTGAATAAAAATACTCTTGGAGATTGAGGCCTGGATGAAAATTCATACTTGGTAGCCACCACGGCTCAGGGGATACTCAGCCTGAGTTGTAAGAAGGACTTTACAGCCAGGGATTCAGAAGGCCAATAGCCATATGGTTTATACTGTACATTTTGAACCACATTTTCCTCCGTGGTGGATTGGCTCCTACAATTTATCTTACAAGAAAAGCAGAAGGGGGTGCCTGCCCTGCAGAAACACTTGGGAGTGGGTGTCCCCGTTGCTTTACCTTGTCATAGTGCCTTTCCACCCCTTGGTGTCAGGCTCCCAGCGTGTCTGGCCCCAGCGTGTTGCTGACAGGGACTCACTGGCACCATTCTCTGATCCTCTCCCAGAGGGACCACAGCACCATAATGCATTTATCCACCTGGCAGGAGGACCACACACATCTAAAGAGAAGCCTTTGGTAGGAAGAGACTCTGCTGCCTCACTGCTGTGGACACATTTCACCCAGCGTTCACCAGTGGCTTCTGTGGTGCTGGAGTTCTGCCAAAGGTTTTCCTATTTGCACCAACTGGCCACCATCCCTAACTGAAGAAGGTATGGACAGTCACCACAAAAAGCAGCTCATGGCTGCTGGAAGCTACCTGTTTATATATTCTTATTGGCATTAATATTTACACAAGACAGTTTGCGTGATGAGGAAATTGGGAGATGCAGTGGCGAGATGTTACCACCCCCAGGCCTGCCAGCACTCCTCGGCCAGCACCAGCAGGACAGGATGGCAGGAGTCAGCTGGGTCCCTGGGACGCAGGCCACGAGGCCACCACTGTGTGACACCTGAGGCCCCACCCATCCAGCACAGCGCCCTCCCACCACAGCTTAGCATCTAGAGTTTCCTCTCTCTAGAAAGAAATTTACCTAAATATGTTCCAACCAAAGATGACTGATGGGATTTTCTAAAAAACAGCAAGGAGTAAGAGTGCTTGTAATCTTTTTAAGTCTCCCCTGCCATGCTATAAACAGAGAAAACACACCCCAAAACCACAACTCCCCACAGGACGCATGTAAAATCAGCCCTCTGCTGCCTCCCCACGGTCGACCTGGGAGGGCACAGAGACATGCGGGTGCCTCAGTCATCACTGAGTGTGGTCCCCATGCCCTCTGAAGTGGCCTGGCCCCCTCAGCCTGAGGGTTCTCTTTCTGAATACCTGCTGCTCCTACCCTGATGGCCTGAACAAAAAACACATCTTGAGAAATACATCTTTCTCTAAAATGCTGTTCTGAAAAACTCGGGGGGAAGAGAGGACCCATCATCAGTGAGTAAGAGAATTTCCACAAAACTCCCGAACACTGAGCCCTTGTATTTCCACACATCTCTAAAGATGGGCAAGCCCGAGCCATGTCCTCCCAGCTAGCCCATCCTGACCCTGGACAGGCAGACTCTGGAGGGTTCTGCTCGGCCCTGTGCCAAGCACTGACCCGCCTGGGGGACCACAGAGTCCTGCAGCAGGCGGCCCCCTGGTTGGACACAGGACCTCAGTCTGAGCCTCCTTCCTCCTGAACAGGGGCTGCTGCTCAGATGGCCCCTGGACATCATCAGGTCCCT